TAACCAGAGCACGCAAGTGGAAAATCATGACTGGCATAGGGAATTTTCTCCTCTTTAGTCCCCTGCAACACCCTCACCACCACGACTATCATAGATGGAGAATTGTCTACGTTCTTTGTCGCCGGTTCAGCATGTTTTTCTGGAAGAAGCTTCTCCCGATATATTCCCGCCAACAACACCGACAGCATATGTACTGAGGTTGAGAAACGATATTTTTCCGGACTAAAATTCGCAGTCCACAGTTTCGCCTAGTATGCTAGACCTTCCCCGGCCCATTCTACCCCCGAATATAACATGCTAATTGTCGGGGAAATTATGAACACGACGCGGCATTCTGGAGAGCAGACACCAGAAATGGATTGGGGTGAAGACGGAAATGATGAGGAGTTGAACCGGCATATGGAGGCATATGAAGATGACGAAGAGTTTAACCGGTACATGGATGTATATGAAGGTTTTGGAGGGGGTGTAATAACTAAATTATTTATTATTTTGAATATATATATATTTTTTATTTTAAAACCAGGCATTCTATAATTTATATTTTCAAACTATATTAATATTTATAAATATTTTGTTACCTAGCTGGGTATGTTAGTAGTAATTTTTAAAGTAGCAGATGGTCGCATTTCTTGGTATGTTAGTAACTATTTTTATAAGGCTTCTTCGAGTGACCGACGGTGAAATATGTAGAGAGTCAATGGGAAGAAATCGATTGATCCGATTTGTATCGTAGGATAGTGCAATTGTTATAGCAGGATCGAAAATAAACCCTTATTATTGTTGGTGACCACACGTAGCCAGCCTTAGTAACACAACAACTATTTTTTTCTAGAGAAAATGTTGACCAAAATAATTGAGAACACATTACTCGAATCACGGATTTATCATAGTCAATGTATAAATAATATTTTAGTAATACATGGCTTAAAATGTTACCACCTCCACAAAAATTCTTGAGTTCAACAGGCCATGGCTCTGTTGTCCCATCAAGTGGCCATGTTCGGCTAGTGTGTCCCCAGTCTCTTGTCCAGTATACACGCCTTTCACGATTAATATACCTCTTGACTATTAGTCTTAAAATCCGTGATTTTTTCAAAGTGTTCTACATTTTCATTTAATAAGTATATTAGTTTATTAGTATATTAGTATATAATATTAGTTATTCTTTTAAAAATATAATATGTTTAATTGCGGTAAGTGTCCTGCTTCTTTTGGCCATAAGTGCAATATGATTAGACATGCGAAAAGACATGATGGAGTTCAGCTATCTTGCCCATTTAACATTTAATGACAAGTCTAACTTGTTACGTCATACGAAAAACATCCATGGTATGTACAGAACATTATAGATATTATACATGAAGTTAATTTATTATTATTTTCTTAAAATTAATTAATGACTTAATTGTTTATTTATTTTAGGTATTGCTCGCGTCCCTGCAGTTCGGAGTAATAGAGTAGTAATCAATCCATAAGTCAGCGTGTCTAACAATGAAGACACATCGAGTCACCCTAGAGCCGTTAAATGTAGATATACCGAAGTTTCGCCCGAAATATTTGTACCTGACAGTCAAGCTGGTCCATCCAACAGCCGGCAAGTCGTGCCTGCCCCCATACGAGTAAATGATCAGTGGTATGATGATGATAATAATGAACTGTGTTTGGAAGTTTTGGAACATGTTCAAAATGCTTAGCTATGCGATGTGCAAGGTAAGATTTATCGTGATACTATTATACATGGGGTTAGAGATAATTAGATTTTTATTCTAAAGATTCTATGATAATATAAGTTTTATTATAATAACTCATCAAATGGTTTGGGCATCGATCAATTCACTCTTCACATCCTATGGTATAATAGTCGGAGTTATTCCGGCATTGCACCGGATGTCAGACCGCTTGTTAAGTTTTTTTTTTTATAATACAAATTTTACGATTTATTTTATTTATTTTATTTATTTTATATTATTTTTTTATTTTATTTATTTTATTTTATTTATTTTTTTTTTTTTTTGAACGATTTATAACATTTTGTTTTAAGATTCTTTTTCAATATAAGTTTTAATTTAAACTTATCATAGCTTTTTTTTTTTAAATTATTATCGCGGGTATGACAGATATTTATACTTTGATTTATTTTATTAGATATTAAATAGTTTTTTTTTAAGTTGTTTAGATCATTACACCATAGGTAAAAATCGTGTTCATAATTAAAATACGATAACTGCTCGTAATTAAAAAAAAAACACGTATGGATATGGTTAAGACAGGCAGATTCGTTGAAACTAGTTCATCACACAAACGACTTGCTATTCATTATTTCTCGAAAAATGTTAAAAAATATTCTGAACTTTCCTGAATTTCTTTTATCAATAAAATCTGATCTGTTAAAAATATTAAAATCATCGCTTGCAAAAAATCCTATAAAATTTAATCTTAAGTTGGAGTTTACATACAGAAGGCCTGGCGTAGAAAACTCGTCAGAGAACAGATCGTTTGCGTGTCCAGCTAAAACACTTTATGCAGAGACCGATTTGGTCGAAAAAATAGGACAAACGTTTACCACGTTACTCGAGCAGGAAGAAGTGTATTTGTCGAGAGGAAGTGGTTTTATTTTGGACACAGAATGACAGCAAATGCTTCAAGTGGTGCGTTTTAGCTAAACACGTAACGGGTAGGAATAAGTATCACATTAGTAATAATTATTACCAACATGAGAGAAAATATGACTTCAGCAGTCTTTCATTCCCGACACCTTTGTGTGATGTTAAGATATTCGAGCGTAACAATCAGATCGTGTCAATAAATGTTTATGGAATTGAAAAAAAATTCGATCACTCGTCAAAGTCTGTGTCACATATTGTTTTTCCATTAAAAGTCGTAGAAGAGGAGAAAGCTGATCATTTAGACTTGCTATTTATTACCGACAGAGAAGATTACCATTATGTATATATTAACAATTATTTCAGACTTATACGAGCACAAAAAACTAGTCATAAACAAAGTGATATATTTTGTAAACGATGTTTTACGTCATTTGACGATAGGTCATTGAAATATTAATCGAGTGGACAGGCAGCGCTGAATGAACATAAACTCATATGTGGATCACATAAGGCTGTATTTCCCATATTGCCGGTAGCGGGTGAGTGTACGGAATTTAAATCATGGGGAAATACAAATAGGCATAAATTTGTGATTTATGCTGACTTTGAGGAGCTCCTTATGAAGACCGATGATGCGAAAGGTAGAAATACAACAACTATAGAAGAAATCTTAGAAGAAAACTAAGATCAGATTAGAATTACTGACTGATTACAGCATGCTTCTTCTATTCGTAAAAGGTATAAAAAAAAGTTTGAAAGTTTTTATAATTATTTAAATTTTTTAGGTATATGAGGTGGCTTGGTACAGGCAAGTATGCGGTATGCAACGGCGAACAACGAACAGACCACCGATTATGATGATACTAAACCTAAATCATGGCTGATATATCAGGTTTGTAATAATTGATATGGTTATGTTATGGGTGAATACATGCCCTATGGCGGGTTTAAATGGGTGGAGCCCACGCTGAGAGGGTTGAATGGTTTGGATGATTCATCCCCTATAGGCAGGATTTATGAGGTAGACATATCATATCCAGAACAACATCACAATCACCATAATGACCTACCATTCCTACTACAAAATTCCATACCCGTAGGCTCAAAAGTTCAGAAACTGATGGCGACATTTGAGACGAAAAAAAATTATGTTATTCACCATGGGAATCTGAAACAGGCCATTAAAAACGGTCTTATAGTTGAAAAAGTATGTACATATATTTTTTTATTTTAATTCCAGTTTCATGAATTTTTTTTTTTTAGGTGCATAGAGTTATACAATTTAAGCAATCGCCCTGTCTCGCAGAGTATACTACAATGAATACTGAGATGAGAAAGAACGCAACGAACGACTTTGAGATATTGTTTTTTAAACTAATGAATAATGCCGTATTTGTTTTGGTATAATTTTTCAACATTTTTTAATATTAAAAAACTGGTGAATAAGTCGACATTTAAATGTATGACAGCCTATAACGAGGGATAAACAATTATATTTATCGGCAGTCTCGATGGTGAATACAATTATAAAATTCGACAAGCCTATTTATATTGGTAAATATTTATTTTTGTATTTTAATTTATATTCATAGTTTTTTCAGTGTTGGAAATTAGTCAAACTTTAATGTTATGAAGAAACAATATAATGATAATATAAGGCTTATGTATACTGATACAGGTAAATATATTAAAAATGGTCTTATGTTAATATTATATTAATTTATCAGAATCTCGAAAATTATCAATCATTGTAATTAATAAATTATAAAATGTGCAGTTTTTATAGCTAAGGATTGCAAATTTAAACCAAAGGTTCTCATATATAGTTGATACTGTAACCAAAAAATCTAAAAAATATATGAACTCAGTTATTTTTTACAGACATTTTAAATTCAAATTTAGACGATATTACATATTAAAAAACCTAGAATAACTAGTTTAGTTATTTTGTTGTGATTGAATAATATTATTCGTGGGTACTTGAAACTTCTAAAGTGTACTATTATATATCTATGATAGTATCACGGTTTTTGTTGATGTATAACGCGTTATAAGTACCTAATGGATATTGTGATATGATTAATTTGGAATTTATTATAGGTACCTATTATTGGTCAATTTTTTGTTTAATACCATAGATTTTATATAATATGTCTTATACCTAGACTGACATACCGTCTCTGCTCAGAATCGTTTTTCTTATACAATGATAATATATCGTTGAATTCAAATTTAATATCATCCATTATACAGTGACCCACTTGTAACCTACTGAACAGCAGAGCGACACCCACTTGCCCACATTTTTATTAAAATTTTTTTTGTTTTCTGTACACGATAAGTAGTCGTAATAATGCTTCGATTTTCAAATTCAGTATCTTGTTCGATTGGAAAGGGAATATTGTTGGTGCATTGGGGAGGTACAAATTTAAAATTCCCAGTAATTTTCAAAAGCGGCAAGAACAACAAAAGAAAAATTAAGGAAAAACGGGAATTTTTCACAAAATTGAATTTGGTTTTTGGTGTACCTAACTTTAAAACAACTGATCGTAGATACATGACATTTTCACTGGTTGTTTATATTTGAATTTTCTATACACTATAACATTTTCAAAATATTTTGATTTATTTTGAACTGTTTAGGGACATTTTCAGTTTCCAATTATATTAGTTTTTTTTCTATGAATGTCAATAAAACTTTATTTGTTGAGTAAAAATACTTCAAAATGTAATACAAGGCTCCTAATATATTGTTACAATTACATTTTAAAAACCTTAAAAATCCTTATTCACAGTTTTTTTGTAATAGTTTAAAGTTCAAAAATTGACAAAATATGGAAAATCACGAATATTAGCAAATTACTTTGAGTTAAGAGTTCATAAACGTATTTCTTTTTAAATCTAAGATATGAAAATGTAATATAAGATTCCTCATAAGTTTGTCTACCTTTATCAAAAAAAAAAAAAATGTCTATAAAAAAGTCAAATTAAACTTATATGAGCGTTTGAAATTCATATTTTAACATTTGATATTCACTCGATTTCTCATGTAACGATTTTCTTATTTTGTTGTAATTAAAAAACAACGTAGATACTTGAACATTTCACTGAATTTTTTTATTAGCATTTCCTGTACACGATACCATTTTGAAAATCTTTTGACTCTTTTTGAGCTGTTTACGGATATTTTCAGTTTTCAATTTTATTAGTTTTTTTTTCTATAAATATCAATAAAATTGTATTTGTATTGTAAAAAAGCAAGAAAATTTAATGCGGAGAGCACCTGATATATTGTTACAATACTGCCGTCATAAGCCACTAAGCAGTAACTCCATTTTTGTCAAAATCGAGTTTTTGGTGTCTATCGATAGATATTTTAATTCTCTATCGATTCCCGTAATAAAATTTAAGGTTTTTCTTATTAAAAATCCATATAAATTGATAAGAACATAACAAGAAAGGCGGTATGTCCATGATTTCATTAAGATAAGAAGCAAATAAGCAGTATGTCCAAATACTAGAACAAAAAGCAGTAACTCCAGTTGTTACCCTGGAGTTACTGCTTTTTTCCCTAGTAATCGTTGTATTCAGAAAGCAGTATCTCCAACAAAATCCAAATTATTGGTGTAAACTTAACGTTGGTCCCAAAATAGAATTAAAATGTATACCATAATGTTACTGATAACTTGATAAGGAATAATATAATCACAATTTAAAAAAAAACACATTTAAACCGTATTTGCTGTGTAATAAGTCACTATAAACATCATATTATTTTGAAAGTACTACATATTTTGTGTACGCGTTACTTATTAAGTGTAAATCAGCTTAAAAAAGAATAGCAGATCAAAAAAAATGGTTCAAATGCATTTTTTTCCAAAAAACCTATATTGAATACAAATTCTAGAACACATAAACATCACTTTACGAACACATGCCAATGATATCAGAAGCCATTAGGCAGTAACTCCAAATAAAAGTGTACTTACTGCTTTTCATCTTCTGACTAATATAAGCCAATAAGCAGTAAGTCCATTATAAGTTATAACCCATAAAAATGTATAAAAAAACCTTTCCGCTCAGAATCGTTTTTCTTATACAATGATATTATGTCGTTGAATTCAAATTTAATATCATCCATTATACAGTTACCCACTTGTGACCTACTGTACAGCAGAGCGACACCCACTTGCCCAATTTTTTTATCTAATATTTATTATTAAACTGCCTCTTTTTCCGTTTTAGATTTTATTTATTCAACTGTGGTTTTGTTCTTTAAATATATTTTTATTAAACTAAGCTTGTTTATCCGATTTAAATTTATTCACACCGGATAAAAATCTATACTTAATAAAAGAATCTATAATGAGAATAAAAAAATCATCATTCAATAAACAGAATCTAAATCGTATAAGAAAGGTTTATTTTAATAAAAATCTATGTTTAATAGTGGGTGTCGGTCTCCTGCACAGTAGGTTACAAGTGGGTCACTGTGATGGATTGTGTTAAATATGAATTCAATGAAATAATATCATTATATAAGGAAAAAGATTCTGAACAAAGACGGTTTGACAGCCTATAACAATATTACTAAGTATATTTGATGATTTATTGTGAATTAAGTAATTTATATAATATAATATAATATAATATATAGTATTTACGTGGAACCTTTTTTTAAATTTCCAGTCCTTAGCTATGAAAGTTGAATATCTTATATTTTATTATGTAGGTACCTATTTCTATCAGGTTTTTATATTATTTTGCATATTATGTACCTATTTATTTATATGAGTTCGTATTATTTGCTTAATTATTTTGCATATAAATGCATATTTTTAGTTCAAGAGAATATTTTAATAAAAAAGCATTTTTTTTTGCATATTTTATTATTATTTTTAAAGAATATTGGAAGAATATTTTCAACTTTTTAAGAGAATATTAGCATTTTATTTTGGCTATTTTAAAAGAATATAATTCCGGCCCCTAGTAATAACTAATATTGTATATACAGTGTGATCACGATTTTAGGTACCACTGAATATCTCAGATGGCTGACTTTGTATTGAAATGGGGTTTTCGGGAGGTGAGAGCCGATAGGAAGCACTTAAATACATATTTTCAGACCAGTTTAAAATTTTTAGCTCACTCGGGATGCGCATGCGCAATTTGACTTACTTTTTGTTAAATGGCAACCCCACTTTTTTTCTACAGATTCGGGTTGAGTATTTTTTTTTAAACATTTTTTGTATTGAAAGTTTTTCTATTTATAAAACTGACCAAGTTAGAGAAAGTCAAATTTTGGATTTATTCATAATACGTGTTTAATGCAATTTGCATTTATAACCAGTTGAAATAATAAAATAAGTGCCAAATAAATGTTTGATTAGGGGGGGGGGTGGCTGAGTGGACTAAGGCGTCGGTTGTGGCCGATTTCCGACCGCCATTAAACATTTAATATACGACACCCAAATCCCCCCCCGTAATTACGCCACTGGGTA